CCTTCAATAGGGATTTCCAGCAGAAATGATAAACGTCTGGCTATAAAGAGAATCGATGCTCAAATAATTAAAAAACTATAGGTCTGACCTTTAATAAGATAAGAATTACGTAACTATCTGAGATTCAAATGCTTATAAAAAGCAGGGTGCTTTTTTTTAAATAACAATATTCTGATCCAAATCGGCTGACAGCCACGATTTTGTAAATAGAATTTTGTTCAAAATTTTCATTCCTGGAAAATAATAATTTGTTTTTATATCCACCTATTTAGCTCGCTATGAGCACAAATTTTTCAAACCAGTCGCAGAAGAAAGTATTACAAATTAATTACAGAAATTAAATCGGAAAACGTTGATGAAGTTACAGATTCCTCAAATTCGAAACAGCCAAAGTAATGAGAATGAAGAATTCTTTTTCAAGGCTTTAGAAAAACCTGACACATCTGGTTTGACCTCGCCATTATGTTAGATTCTAATTGTTTCTTAAAAATACTTGACATCCGCATTCGCATTCGCATCCGCGGATGTTAGCTGTTAGATATTCGCATCCGCGGATGCCTAAAATTCCACATTCGCAACATCCCTAGTATGTATGTAGGTATATATGTATGTATGTCAACGAAAATGCACACAGTCGAACGAGAACGCGTACTGAGTGTCCAGTGTCTATTCTGGCATTGAACGACTTTCTTTTACTTTTACTTCTTGTATACATACAGACATAAATACTTACTTTTAAAGTATGCGTATGGGCATTTCCCAAAAAAGGTAAACCGAAAATGCAAGTAAATATGTAAATGAATTCAAACGGCGTTATAACTTTAAATGTCGTATTCCGATGGCGAATAAAGGTTTGGAAAATGCGAAACGGTGGAGAGAAGAATTGGAAATACATATTAAATAAAAAATTAAATTTAGTATGTGTTACTAGTGAAAATATTCTTAAGGTGATAAATCTGTCACTTCCGTTACCAGATTTTAATGCAAAATTAATTCAACAACAACGAAGTGCTTCTGATTAAAAATTAATTGGTATAGAGTGGAAAGGAAAACCTTACAGGATTCGCTGACTTTTGCTTATTTTTACATGTACTCTGAAATCACTTCTGTTTTTGTCGCGTCCGTTATGCCCTCCGTTTCATCCGTTTCATTTTCTCGACGTTTCGTATGATTTATTTAACTGTAAAGTCGTACGAATTTCGCATCCGTAACCCAGGATATGCCCATATGTACATACATATGTATATTATACAAACATACATATGTATGTGTATATGTATACTTAAAAGTATATGCTGCTGCTTAGTGAGCCCACTGGAAGGATATTTAATGCTTGAAATAATTTAAGTTGAGCAATTCGTACACACATAATTATGTATGTATGTATGTTTGTAGTCAGTATATTCGCCGTTTCCTTTGAATTAATGGAAATTAATTAATGATTTGTTTTTTGACTTCATTTTTGTTTTTGGATTGTGGAATAAATGTACAAACATATGTATGTACATATAAGAGTTCTACGCCGCCGTCATTCTTCACGCGCCGCCGCCGAGTTACGAAAATATCGGCGGCGATGGGATTCGGCGCCTAAGGAATACATCGTTTGAGGGAACTACTACTCCTATAAATACCGCTATTTTATTTTTATTTTTTACTTAACCTGGCCCACTGAATAGGAATATGACTCCTTTATTTTTCCAAAAAAGCGTAACTCAGAAAAAACATAGAAACACGTTTTTCGATCGAACGCGTTTATTAAAGTTAAATTAGGATCGAAAACTGGTAATCTTGCGATTTTTTTGCGCAGTAGTAAATTTTTTTCAATACTACCACACCGGCTGCGTTCGTTTGGAAAAGCCAGTAACAAAATTCAGAGAATAATGTAACTTACTCTCCCAAAAAAATTGCATTTCGAACATTATAATTTTTTTTTTTATTATTAGTTCAAGTGGAAAACAAAACAGGAAATACCTATACGTATATTTTTTTACTCTGACTTTTTTCAACATATATATGTACGATTGAATTTCTTTGTGGTAGTCATTGTCGGATTTCCTAACTTGTATTTGCCACCAAAATAAACGATGTTGCTTCTCTGAAAAAGTTTGCGAAATGAGAAAATAGATGTCAAACAACAAAAATGACAGTGGAATGCAAGCGAGCGCTCGCAAACCGCTCAGTATGCGAGAAAAAGTATGCTTCATCCTTTTTGTGTTTAAACGTGCGGGATCTCGCATGCTTCGTCACGCAAGCCAGATTTTCGAGCATATGAAGACGGGCATCTACATAACCCCTCAAGCTTAAAAACACTTTGGAAACGACGGGCTACGGACAGTGATCGGACTTATACCACATTGTTGTAGATCTATCACTTTTTTGAGCACACACCATATCTGCCACGTAAGGTCAGAAATCTACCGTATATTTGTCGTCGTCACAAGAACGTAGAGAACCATGTATGTACATATGTATGTATATATCTCAGACCTTCTTTTGATCGCCCATCCATCAGCGGCAGGCACAAAAAAAATTTTAATTTAAATAGGAAGTAAAAATATTTTAATTTAAAACTAATTCACATGAAAAGATCAGAAGCCTCATGACTCTTTGGAATCTATTTTATAGGCATTAGCGCCGCCGGCTTTTTGAAGTTAACCACGCCGCCGCCGCAAATCCTGTCGGCGTAGACCTTTAGTACATAATACATACATATGTACGTATGTACACTTTAATCACCATAGATCATATTAATGAGCATGTAATCGATATAGGCGGTTTTGACTGGCTAAAGCTCCATTTTTTCGGTTTTCTTATTCGCATCCATTTCGTTTTTTGTGCGTTGCGTTGCGTGTTTTCAAAGCCCTGCCAATTCAATTGTGGCTTAAGACATGCATGCATACATATTATTACAATACACGTTTAAATGGGTACTTATATGAACAAATGTATGTATGTGTCCGTTAGTTAAAGGAGCTTAAGTGACTACGAAAGGTTTCACATAAAATTATAAAATAATAAATTACCCTTAAAAATTTTTGTTATATTTTTACGAAGCTTTTGTTAACCCTTCTGCAGTGTTTGGAATATCCCCCATCCTATTATGTTTTAATTAATAATTTTGACCCAATAATATAAATTAGTCAATTTTAAGAAAAAAAAAACGGTATTTCAATATGAATGAAAACTATTTCGCCTTCTAGAAAACAAAATAAAATAAAAAACTATTTTATTTTTTGCAAAAAATTAACTGATTATGCTTTTAACGAATAGACAACGCCGCAGCTTATTTCAAATTACCTAACTCTGTAATTAAAGAATTTTTTCATTAAAATTGGTTCACTTTGACCCAATCATTGCAGAAGGGTTAAAAGGGCATCTTATATACGGTGACCATATTTATGGGAGCTGAATACGGGACAAATAATTATTTTGCAAATTTTTTACACAAAAATCATCAATGATCCTCGATGTATAAGCCCTAAAAGAGCATCCTTGTAGTAGCATCACGAATTTGTAGGCAATATTTCTTGAGATTTTTGCCCCGCAAAATTTGTTTAAAAATAACCTTAGATTTTAGTACTAAAGTGCAATTTTGAAGGCGTTAAGACTTACATTTAATTTTTGACAATTTTTTTATTTTTTATTTTTTTTTGACGATGTTGTGCATCTTTATCATGCCCTGGAGTATCGACATTTGGCCAGTTTTTAAAATGTAATGACAACGCATTTGACACCAAATGAACAGCTGTCAGATGAAGGCAGTTTTTGATGTCAGTGATTTTGACATAATGAAAACCAGCCGAAAGTATGTTGGATCATTTTTTTTTTTAAAAGCAATTTTAATGAGGTACAAATTGGAAAACCGATTTTTTTTCTAAAGATTCTAATTAAAGAGTTTGAAATTTTGGTGAAACATTGCAGAATTTATTTGTATAGTTTTTTGCACAAATTTATAAATTTGGTATTTGAATAACTCAGTGAGAGGGGAGACCAGTATGTTTGCATGTATGTACATATTTTAATAAAAAAAAATACTGTGGCCAATGGTAAAGTTCTTTTACCACCTCTGTAAGATTGTAAGTCATGCTGAGTCCGCAAATGACTCCGGAAGCATTGTCCGCAGGATACATTAGACTAGGCCCAGCATACTTTTAACTGCCATCAAATTATAACTTACGAAAGTTTTATTACTGGCAGTTGAGAGGTGCATGTGCGAAAACTTCATGAATTTAATGAAACGAAGCAAAAGTAGTATGTAAACGGCCCTTTAGTGTGTTTTCACTTTGCTCGAAAATTAGCAAACGGCAGCACTGGTACCGACTGTAGTGCTGCAAATCATCGATGTTTGAAACTATCGATTTTTGATGTTTTTGCCATCGAGACTTCGATAGATCGATACTATCGGGGTTTCTCGGGAATTATAACTTTTTCTTTAAAATTGAAATCCTGATCAATTAAAAACATTGCAATTTTTAAAAAATTACACTTATTACTTTAAAGTTCCTTATCCATTAATTATTTTAAAATTAAAATATATTTATAAGGCAATAATACAATGCATTTGGCTTATATTTAAGGTCACATTGAATATTGGAGGTTATATGCATTAATTAAATGAAAAATAAAATATGATATAAAATTATTCATAAGGCAACAACAAAATTAATTTGTGTTTTATGTAACTAATGTCTTAGTCTTAATAAATAAATGAAATGTTCAAAACAATAATCTAAGATACATTTCAAAATTTTAAGTCTTCATTCTAACGGTAGCACAGAAAAAAATCCTAACATTTCCTTGAGATGTGAGAATAACGAGCACAACAAATTTGACGGCTAATAATCTGAGATTTTCCTGTGTAAACGAGCTTTGATTGAGATTATATTTTTATGTAAACGTACTCTAATGGTGGCATATCGCCTAAAAGCATCGATAGTAAAAACACATCGATGTTTTCAAAAAATATTAAAACATCGATACTATCGATAGCGCTCCGATGTTTTTCCAGTTCTGGCCGACTGTTTACTATCGACTGGAAAGATTTGCATGTAAAACAAATAAAAGTGTAGCTACTATTGGCGTTAAAGCTCCTGTCTCCACATACCACAATATTAATTTATAAAAAAATTAACAATATGAGCTCCGCCGCGGTATCTGCTGCTATTCAAAGCACAGCTGGAGCAGTACCCATCCGAAATGAAAAAGGTAGATTTGGTGATTAACAAACTTTATCCAGTGTAACTAAATTACTTTCTCGTCAGGTGAGATTTCTATGCAGAAAGTTAAGGTGCAGCGCTACGTGTCAGGCAAGCGTCCAGATTATGCTCTTGGAGGAACAAGTTCTGATGAATCCGACTTGGAGGACTTCATAGACCACCGCAAACGTGCTGCTCAGGCCCAACTTGAACGACGCTCACAACGAGATCATGCAACGGAAGAAATTGAAGCTAAGGCTCCATCAGGCGACGAGGCTGAAGTCGATGATCCGCGTTTGAGGCGCCTACGTATACGTCCCGAAGATCAGGAAGAATTGGAAAGAGAACGACGTGAAAGACATAGACATATTCACGAACCAGAAATAGTTGAGTCTGAATCCGAGGAAAGTGAACCAGAAGTAGCCACCGGAAATGCAACAAATAAAATAACCCTAGCATCTGAATCAGATTCGGATTCTGAATTAAGTGAGGAGGAATTGGAAAATCGGCGCGTTAGGCTACGACATCGAATGCTGCAGCAGCAAAAGGAAGAAGAGGTATTATTCTTGTACTAATTTATTTATTTACGCCATTTAAAAAGACACATTCCTGCTTAATTAAAGATTTTGCAAAAAGAAGAAGAAAGGCAGTCTGAGTCCTCTGAAACTGAAAGTTCTGAATATGAAGATGAGACAGAGAGCGAAGAAGATAACGAACCCCGCCTTAAACCTCTCTTTGTTCGTAAACGTGAACGCGCCACTATTCAGGAAAAGGAACGAGAAGCGCAAAAACAAAAGCAGTTAGAAGTAGAAGCCAAAAGGGCAGCTAAAGACCGAAGACGCGCTACTCTACGTCTCGTAGAGGAGAGTGTTAAAAAGGATCTGGAAAAGTCCAAGGTATATTATACGTTCAATTTTTATCCGTGCCTACATATCTGCAATATTATTTAATATCTCTTCAACAGCCTGACACTGCTGAAGCCAGTATCGAGGATGTTTGTACTGATGATGAAAACGATGAAGTTGAATACGAAGCTTGGAAATTACGTGAATTAAAACGAGTGAAGCGTGATCGGGAAGAGCGTGAGAAGTATGCTTTGCGTCGAAAGTTTCTTATAAAACCTTTATTTATAATTATAACTTTTATAGCGCCGAACGAGATAAACAAGATATTGATCATATGCGTAACTTGACCGAAGAAGAACGTCGTCAAGAGCTGCGTAACAATCCTAAAATTATCACTAACAAAGCTGCCAAAGGAAAGTATAAGTTTTTGCAGAAATACTATCATCGCGGTGCTTTCTATTTGAACGAGGAAAGTGAGGTCCTAAAGCGTGACTTCGCGCAGGCCACACTGGAAGATCATTTCGACAAGACGATTTTGCCAAAGGTTATGCAAGTAAAGAACTTCGGCCGATGTGGTCGTACAAAGTACACACACTTGGTAGACCAAGATACAACCAAGTTCGACTCTCCTTGGTACGCTGAAACTTCGAACAACATAAAATTTCACAATGAGAAGGCTGGTGGCATGAAGCAAGTGTTTGATCGGCCCTCCTTGTCAAAACGCAAGAAGATGGAATAGAGATTTCGTACGAGGAATATTTCTGCCGGAGGTGTACAGTTTGCTATATAAGCCTTAGATCTAGAAATTACTACATACAAATTAATAATCTTACTGTAATTCAGAACACTTCACAAAAATTCGGATTTCTTTTATTTCCAATGATGAAAAGGATTGATCTGCATATGTATGTACATATTAATTTGCTATTAGATTTGTAAAATTAAAATTTCGTATCATTTTTCAGTATTACCAAATTCTATTGCCATTGGTATTGGACCTACAGCTAAAGTCGTTGTCTCCAAACATTTCTCTGCCCAGTTCATTTTCTCATCGCGCTCTTTAATTTTTTCCAAAGGCGTCCATGATAAGTCAAATTCTAATCTATAACTTCCAAGATACTTCTGATTGAGTCCACCATTCCATTCCTGTGCAAGTAAGATGTATAAATAGAAAAATCGGTATTTAGACATACCTACATATATTCAGCCCAATTCTTAATACTCCCGGGGAGTTTGTTCTCCGGGAATTCGTTTCTCCCTAGAGAGAAGTTCTCCAATAATTAACTCCCAGGGAGAAGCATTTTCCCCGAAAATTCGAACCTCGAAAAAGCTGTTTTACACTTTTTTGACAGCTCAACTCCGCCATTTAGTATAAAAATCCTCGGGGAATTTTTATTTATGATAAGAGGTTAGAGAAAAGAGAGAAAACTCCCAGGGAGTATCTGTTCAGAATCGGCCTGTATAGCTTTTGACTTACTTCAGGTGAAAGCATACTGAAATAGCTTTGACCCGATGAACGCTGATAAAGATGATAGATATGGCCAGGCTTTTTTGTAAAATTACATGCGGCATTGTGCAACAGTTTACTCTCTTCGGATTCCTTCAGTATTTGCATTGCTTGTGCTTGCAGCATTTTAATCTACAAGATAAATTACCACTGTAAAATCCTTCAATAATACTGGTATTAGATTACACATCTAACCTGATCCAGAATCACACATAGCTTCTGACATGTGCCAGATTTCAACTGCTTGTCGGCATTCTGTATTTGCGTTGCCAGCGAGATGATGTCATCCTCCTGGTGCATTGATACACGCAACGGGTCCACGATATGGACGCCATTAGGATGAGGGTTCCGCTCAACTAACTGCGCTACGGAATTAACTCGAAATTTAGTGGAAGGGTATTATTAAATAACTTTGCCACAGAAGTTAATTACCCTTTTTTACAGCAGTTTCATATGTCAGACGCTCCATTTCTATAGCACACCTTTTCATAACAAATTCACAAAGTTCTTATTTTACTTCAGAATATTTTTGTTTTTGCGAAGTGTCAACATTATCTTTTTGTTGTACCTAAAGGTAGCATTGGTACGATAACGATGTACTTATACGAGAACATAATCTCGATAACAACAACTGGAAGCTAAATTGAAATAGCACACAAGATAATAGGGGCTTTTTCGTGAAATCTAGGAAAATGCGTTCACTGAATCCGAATTGCTATGAACGTGTGTATTCCAAATATAGGCTACGTTCGTAGCTATTCGGATTCAGTGATAGCAATTTCGTAGATTTCACGAAAAATCGGACACAGATGGATTCTGTGCTAGCCCTAATGTTCTTAGATCTCGTTACAATACATGGCGAAATTATTTCACTTACACTTACACTTTTCTGACAGCCCAACTCATCCATTTTATATAAAAAAAAATCCTCAGGGAATTTTTTTTCATGATAGGAAGAAAGGGGAAAGAGAGAAAACTCCCAAGGAGTTTCTGTTTAGAATCGGCTTGGGTATGTATATCGATAATTGTTTTGTACCGTACCATCGCTTCGACAAACTCAGCTGTTTTGATAAAATGACAGTTGGAAGAACCGAAAGGTGGGTTCGCATGAAAAAATGTTGGGCCAAAAGCCAAACTCGTACGTACGCGTATTTGAACCCAACGTTGAATTGTTTTAAATTTGCAACTGCACCCGCTACATTTTTATGATCTCATTTTTGCCAGCGGATTTTCAGGGTTACTTTCACATAAATGCCTTTATTTGCAATAACTGGTACAGTGGCGAGCACTTAAATATAAAAATAATCTATCGCAAACCATAATAAAATCCCTAGCATCAATTTAAGAATCAAACGATTATTAATAGAAAATCAGTGTGAAATATTTCCTACACAAAGCCATTGAAATTTATTAATAGTTATCAGTTAATTCATACAAACATATGTATATTGGGAGTATCAACACATTAATACAGCAGCTACACCAAGTTAAATCTAACACCTATGACAATTATAACTTAGTTTGTTCAAATGTTTTAAAGTATTACAAAAGCAATAAAGTTATTGCAATGGAAATGTTATTTTCTGTCAGCAAATTTTCGTTGACCATTTATAGGACAAACGGGAAAATGGCCCGACGACCCTTGGGGTAGTCTTTAAACTCTTTCTTGTAATTACGGTGTTTACCTAGAGCCCAAACAGTCATTTGATAAGCACCAGCTATAGCAAAAAGCAATGCTGGTAGACATTGGGTCATTAGAGAGAATGCCACCCATGATCCAATCTCGTACGTGTAGTTGGGGCAGGATACCAAGCTAAAAATAACAATATACTACTAAACAAATTTTTTAAGGTATGATTAGTTATACTTGAACAGTTTTGTGAAGGGATTTCCATCAGGTATCGGAATTCGGCGCACTTTAGTGCCAGGTGGGCGTAAGTTGCGGAGGGCAATGTGAATAGAAAAATTGCCCAACTCACAAATCTGAAAAGTAACTGAATTTTAGTGACCACGCATAATGAAAGTGTTTGCAATATCTTTACCGCAAAAGCAGCCAAAAAACTCCAGACTTGAAGGCAGCAAGGACTGGTGAATAACGGATGATTAACGTGATATGAAACGTAGGCTGTGAATCCCCAGTAGTAGCTACAATTTTTGAAGAGATTGCGAATAGGCATAGTCGCATGCGAGAAACGATGCACGAATATAGTCTCCAAAATTCGTTTTAAATAATGCACGGTATAGCAGCCAGCTGCAATGCTGAAACAAATTTCCGATATATTAAAAATATTATTAACACACATATGTACATTTATATTATTCATATTATAGTATTCGAGCGTTTGCGAAATACAAAACCAGCCAATAATTAATGCGAAACTTAATGAGCGCTTGTGAAACTTTGTCTTGGCGCACAGTAGTTTCATCGACCGGCAACGAACATCGAAAACAACCCACGGCAACATATGTATGTATAAAATAAATGAAAAGGTTAAAGTAGGTCTTCGAAATTGTTGTTGTAGTCGCTGCTTTTACTAGTAAGCTTGCGGATGCGCTCAGCTAGTGAATTTTTGCAAACTTACTGTGCTGTTAAGGAAATTAGCTTATCTGCGGCTTCACCATAGATGATATCCGGACGAGCATAGAACATAAGGTATACAAAAAGAGGCCCGGCGTATTCAGCTAAAAATACAGTCTTCCAACCTATCTGTGGTCCCAAGTCTTTTATATAAATCTTATTGGATTTTCCAATGTCGAGAGACTCCAAAGTATCCGTTTCTTTAAGAGCCTTTCCACGGGGTTCTAGTCGCAAAGATTGACGTTCCGGGGCCGGTGTGCTTTTATATTGCTTATGTATGATATATCGCAAATCGCCAACGGTAGTACTAGGAGGGACGTGGCATCTTCCATATGATTTGGAGCCCGTGGCTGATAGTATTTCGACCTTTTTGTAAAATAAATATATTACATACGTAAATAGATTTTAAGCTCTGCACAAGGTTCAACAACCAATTACATAGGTGCTTGAATACTTGAACAATAAGACATACTTACATCCATTACTATGCAAATATGAATTGTACGTATTGAACACTATTTGGATAGCTTTATTTACAATCAACTCTAATATGTGCGAGTTCCGCAAGACAAATGCGAGCTTTGCACAAATCGCATGAAAATTTCGAAGATCGTTCGAACTATAGGAAGACAAAACAACACAATAATAAATTCTGATCAGCTGTTCAAACAAATTGTCGATAATTGTGAATTGTGATCGCCCTGTGAAATTACGTTCGACCCTGTACTTCCGGTAGTGCATACCGATTACTGCAATGAATGCAAATTTCGAAGATCGAGCTAAAAAAAGGCAAATCAAAGTTCATTCTATTAATCGCANATGAATGCAAATTTCGAAGATCGAGCTAAAAAAAGGCAAATCAAAGTTCATTCTAACTAGTGTTGTATACCCCTCTGAATTAATAATTAAGCTACATGACTTATTTTGAACGCTTCTTGCTAATTGTCATCAAATTTCATTTATGCTTGTTTTCATTATTAGCCAGATCTCAGAAACGCTCAGAAATTAACTTTTTCCTTCTTTTCCGATTGCGTGATGTTGTATACTGTGGTGATGTTGTTAGTTGGTTCATGGGCTCCTATGGCTATGTAAGTATTTACACAAAAATTTCGCTATAATGACTTATTTTATCCCCATTTGGATTCCCCAAAGGACAAGAAAGACAACATCACTGGCGCAGTCGGCTATTTAATTCCTCCTTCTCCTTTTCGTAAATATTGCGTTTTCTTTCTCATGCGATTCTTCTCGAAATAAATCGAAGTTAATTGGCGATGGCGTTGTAGCTCTTGAGCTGGCCCATGATTCAATAATACAAGGTTAGATAATTATTGACAGCTGCGGTTTGACACTCCCTTACAAAAGGTTGCATTTACGAAGGACAGAGAAAGGGCAAGAATGCAATCCCTTGTTGCGAAAATGGTAGTAGAAAAGTACGCAAAGTAGGCAATTAGTAGTGAAATTCCTTTTGTAAATTCTAATGTATTTGCAGGAAATCTGGTATTTTAAACGAAATGTTGAACGTAATATTGTTATATCTACGTGAATTACGTAATTTATATGCTATTTAGCCGTATAAAAACTGCAAAATGACTCAAAATTAAAATAAGACTACTATGAGATTGATGCAAACATCCAATGCTTACGTTTTCATCAGTTAAATATGCTTCATATGCATATACAAATAAACATATTGCACAAAAGCTTATACTTTTATTTCACACCAAAGCTACACTGTTTCCATGTAAATTTGCAAAGAAGCAACACGGTGCCACTGCTAAGGGAGCGGTGCGAGAGAGACAACTGTCAGTTTATCGAACCTTGTATTATTGAATCATGGAGCTGGCCAAATTAGTCTTCTTTCCTTATATTTGTATATAAGCACGGAAGCAACGTTAAATAATAAAAATAAAAAAAAATCGAAGTTGACGATAAAATATATGCGAATTTAGTTTATCTGCATCCGCGGTTAAAAGTTCAATATAATTCTACGGGAGGCATAATTAATTTGTATTTCATCCTGGAATGAAAATAAACAGTATTCATAATGTCCGACAACGCAGACGAGGTGAGAAATGTCGAGAAAAAGCAACAGATGCTGCCACTCCGACCATGTAATTTCTTGCAGATTGAGTTGTGCCAAAGTATTGGGCCCCACGAGCTAGTGGAAGTTAAATCGAAGGCTGTCGTGAAGTTTTCAGCCGTACAGGTACCGGTGAGCTTTAATCGACTACAGTGCAACACAAATTTGAATCTGCCACCCTCCAATTGGTTGACCACGTCAAACAATAGCGGCCTACACCAAGCCCTCTACCAGTCACCAGGTTTCGCAAGGTGAGTCAATAAAATTTCTCACTCCAAATTTTATGATAAACGACATATTATGTTTTACACCCTAACAGTTTTAGCATTGCGCACATGTTTCCGGACTGTGTAGGCGAGGTAGACGTTGTAACAGATGCAGAAAATATTAAACGGCTCTTAAAGCTGCCCTATACATCTAAAAGTGCCGTCAGTATGATTGTTCACAAAGTAGGTAACACGTTGCTCCTTGACGAATTCGATATACAGAAGTATTTGTTGCGCAAAGCAGACGATGATTGGAAATGGCTGCGCACTTTTATACTGGAGCATATTCTGGCGTATGGCGAAAAAGATCATAGCTTCTGCCTCAAAGACAAGTCGCGCGAGGCACTTCAAACCAAAAATCTGCTCTCGAAATTCCTGTACTACAGCTTAAAGCAATCGGCTTCCGAAGTACCAGAGCAAGAAACGCAACGCGAGCGACCAGCTTTGCCAATTACGGGGCCAGTTCTACCAGAGCCCAAAGTTGAAGAAAATGTTCCAGATCCCAAATCGAGTCACGTGTTCAATCGTAATGTCCTCTGGACATTTGAAGACATACGAATGCTTATTGGCACCGATATGCCAATTTTTGGAGGACCTAACCGGCCATGCATTAGTCTTAGACTACGCGACATGGCTAAGCCTATCAATGTACTGACGGGCATAGATTACTGGCTAGATAACTTGATGTGCAATGTTCCAGAAGTTGTGATGTGCTATCACATAGATGGAATTGTACAGAAATACGAAATTATTAAAACCGAAGATCTCCCATATCTTGAGAACTCTCAGTTTTCACCTCAAGTTGTACGTAATGTGGCACAAAACATACTAGCTTTTCTGAAAGCCAATGCCACGAAAGCAGGCCACACTTACTGGTTGTTCAAGGGACGCAACGATGATGTTGTCAAGTTGTATGATCTCACTACACTTTGTCAGAAAGACGCAGAAGCCAAAAGGTGTGAAGAAAAACAGGAAAATCCATTTACGGTGCCTGTGGCTATGCTCTTGTACACAGTGGCACGTAACATGAAGAACACGACAACACAGATAACACCAAAAATCGCGGGTAATATTAAGGCTTTGCTAGATAACTGCATTAAGCTGCTACCCAAAGAGAAATATCCCCAGATTGTAACATCGTCTCATTATATATTATCTGATTTGCATTTGCCTGCCGGGGTCGATCCGAAGGCGCCGAAGTTTGATAATTCCGATCTGGATTCCGATACGCAATCGGTTTATGAAGAAGATGAAGATGATGACATGGGCAGTGACGATGACTGCAATTTAAATGATGTACACAATGAGTTGAGTGAAAATCCTGAACACAGTGGCAATGTGGCAGTGAAGCAAATTTGCGACACTCTGAAGGAGCTAAATATAAACGCGCAGTTAAAAAATGGAAATCGTGCCCCGCGAGCACCTTCACCGTTGCAAGCTGGAATAGAGGACCGTTGTCGTATTTCATTGGAGCATATCAGTGCTGGTATCGCTTGTCTGAAATTTTTCAACTCCAATGAAGAGAAGTTTATAAAAGAAAGTGAGGTGCGAGCCAAAGACGAAGAAAAACTACGAATACTGCATGAGGAACAGCACCCGAATATGGCAAAACCGTTTAAACCCATACCACTACCGTATGAAAGCCTTAGCAAACATACGGCGAATGGCGAGCTAGACAGTCTTAAGAATTCCGACGATGACGCTGACGATAGCCAAACACAAAGCGATGATAAAAATATGAAAAGGTCAAAAGTGAAGCGCGCTAAAGCTAAGGAATTGAAAGAGTGCCAAAATGTAAAAACTGAAGCAAATCAGGGTCTGTCTACATTGGAAGATAAGCGGATCGGAACCAAATTCAATTCTCAACTTTTTGGTTCATGGAATGTTCACTTGAAGCTACTCTTGTTGGAAAAGGCTTGCCTTGCATACGCCACCTACGCAGAATACTACTACATAGAGCAAAAATACGGTAGTTGCTTGAACGCTATTTACATGGCTTCTCGCTGTCAGCAGGTTGTTTTAAAGTACATGTCGGGTCTAGTTTCTCAAAAGAGTTGTTTGCTGGGTCGTGCTGGAGACTGCTTTTTCCAAATGGCTAAAAACTGGAAGTATATCGACAGCTACCTTGAACAATTTAATGAAGAGTCTATTATCGCGCAGAATATCAATATCGAAGTCGTGAAAGACTTGAATGGAGGTAAAAACTTAATCATATTATTACGAAATCTGTGCAATATATTTCTGTATATTTGGAACTCCCGTATAGATGATCTCATTGAACTAATAACCCCACTGGCTAATATCGAACACTTGATGCAGTCCAGCTGCAAATGTTATGAAAATGCAATTGAATGCATTATTGAGGGAAGCACGTCAGTTGAGGATTCCAAGAGTGAGCTGCTGCGTCGGTTGGGAAATGTGCGAAATGAATTGGGTCTAAAATACATGTACTGGGCGCAGGGTAAGAGCAGTTAGGTTTTAATATTTGTACTGAAAGTAAAGCTAATGAGCATTTAGTTTTCTTTAAATATAGAGGAGTACTCAAAAGCTATGGAAAATAAATCAAATAATTTGACCGATGTTAGTGGTTCTACCGAAAACAGCCAGCTGAAGGAAAATCGATGCGAAGGCGACAACAAACAAGTAGAAAAGGCAGATGAGCCAGTCTATATGAAATTGGCAATGAAGTCCTATGATTGCTTGATACGTGGCATTTCGGCGTTCAGTGAGGTGCAGGACAATGTAAACCTGGCATTTTTATATTGCAATCTAGGCCGCTTCATGCGATTTCGAGCACATTTATATCTGCCTGAGGAAAAGTAAATCACAACTTGTTTATAATTGATTATATTGACTAACAGCAAGGTATCCGTAGCATTGACTTCGTGCGAAAACAGAAAATGTTCTACAACGAGGCCTTTTTGAACTACGAAAAAGCGAAGGACGTACTGGGTTCGCGAAAATCCAGCTCAGAGTTGTGGGACTTGGTAAATTGGGAACTTTCGACTGCAACCTTTACTTTGGCGAAACAGCTGCAAGATTTCAGTACTGCTGATGAGGTAAACTCCGGCCGTCACGCAAAATGTTAAAACTAAATTGTAATGAATTTATCATTTACTTCTGAAAGGCTACGCGAGCTGAAATTGAAAAGGAAGTTTTAGATTTGCTGCAGAAATCTTTGAAACTCTGCGATTTGGAGCACCCCGGCTCAAGACAAATTCTGTACACTTATCGCTCAGGTCTAATACATAAACGGTGAGCTTTTGAGCATTATTGTGTTTCTTGGCTATGAACTACGAATATAACTAAGATTAATGCTCTTCTAATTGATTTGAATTGTTCTGCAGCATCGCATCCTTTCACTATAGTCAGTTANTCTGTACACTTATCGCTCAGGTCTAATACATAAACGGTGAGCTTTTGAGCTTTATTGTGTTTCTTGGCTATGAACTACGAATATAACTAAGATTAATGCTCTAATTGATTTGAATTGTTCTGCAGCATCGCATCCTTTCACTATAGTCAGTTGCGTAATAGTTGCACTGATAACTCTACAATCCCAAAAGCCACTTTGCAGCTGTGCAAGCATCACTATGAGCGTGCCGCTAGTATTTTAGAGGGCTTGCGCGAGGCCAGCGATCATCTAGTGGTGCAACTTGAACGTATCTCTTTGCAAGAGTTCTTAGCCGAAAGTATGTATCTCTATGGTATAAATGTGGGCCAGTTGTTGCTGTAACGTTTCATCCATTTCAGCTTCCAATCATATTGCTCAAAAAATAAAACATTTGCAAACTGCCCTGAGTTTATGCCTACGGTCAAAGGTGGTGTTCGAACATGCCCTTACCGCCAACACCCCCACAGAGCGCAACACAACGAATGACGAGCTCTGCAAGCACATGCTATTGTTCGAAAGCCGCTTGCAGAACACACTAAAAACTTTAATAAAAATGCTGCTCAGCGGAAAGGATCCGAAAAAATTAGTTGAACTTTACAAAAGGATGTATATGACAAGTTTAACCTGTAAACGGGCAGCAGGCGAACACGATACGTCGGTGGAAGAGCTGGCGCAGCATTTTTGCAATTTATTGCAGCAACTAAACGAGCTGGAACTATCACATAAACCTAATGCGATGTAGAAGCTATGAGCTAACTACTGTAAATTTCAGCTTGAAATTTTACAATTTATTCCCTATAAACATNGAACACGATACGTCGGTGGAAGAGCTGGCGCAGCATTTTTGCAATTTATTTCAGCAACTAAACGAGCTGGAACTATCACATAAACCTAATGCGATGTAGAAGCTATGAGCTAACTATTGTAAATTTCAGCTTGAATTTTTACAATTTATTCCCTATAAACATATTTCTTTCTTTCATATGCTTTTGTATGCGCGATTTAATTTAAGACGTTTGAATACTTGTTCATGTTATAGGCTTATAGTTGATTTCCACCAAGCCTTAACTGCAGTTTATGCCGATTGGAAAACGGAGATGCCAATTCGAAGGGGGTTATTCCACACCTATTAGGTAGAAGCAAATGAAAGGAAAAAAGCAAAACTTAAGCAAAAACTTTGCCGATCACCCATGTTGGAATTTTTTGGAACTTCTCTGAGCTCTTAACTGCGGTTAAGTTTTTGGTGGAAATAGGCTATTAGGGTGTTTGTTGCTGGACTACATTTATGTTTAAAAACCGCTGCGTTAAAAACCCTGGAGGTAGTTTAAATTTAAGTGCTCAGACCACTAGCAACCTTTAGCAGTAAGTTAATTTATGAACATTCTTAAATTATTTATTTGTGAGTTGAACTGAGTACAGTGTACGTATATTTTTATATTACAAAAATGCCTTTTAGCAAAACGGCTAAAAATCTAATAAAAGTACACCATTTTTGATTTCTGTCCAGTTTTGGCTTTCTTCTACCAAGTGTTGGAGGGTGGATTGATGAGGTGTAACTTTAAAAATACATCAAGTACTTAGCATTAAGAATGTCTCGTTTTAGTATCACAACTCTGAGATGAACCCTAATTCCAAGAAAAATTTCAAATATGTGTTGATAGGACCCATCCCCTTGAAATTAAGAACTTCAGCAAGATCGACCCGGACACCCCGGCCCACACAGTTTTTTCATCAGCGGAGCATAAACTTCCGGAAAGTCGGCCTTGAACTCTCCTCGTGGGGTGGTGTAACCTTCGCAGCTACTTAGGCCCGAGAAAACCACGCGACCACTTTACTGTCCACGTCGCCCCTTGTTGCTCTCGGCCACAAAACGTACCGCAGTACCATCTTTGCAACAACACCAGTCCCCACTTGCACCGGCGGTCCGAACAAGAAGCTCTATAGTCATCATGTATATCAACTTGAATGGCCTCAAAGGCAAAATCCCAGACGGCATAACATCAAAATCACTGACGTTCAGCACAATCTTTCGCACCAGAGACGGATATAACTTAACCGCCTACGTGGCGAAGGAGGAGGTATCACTTTTATCATCTATCTTACAGTTCAATATGGAAGCGTCACTCCTGAAATTGGNTAATTTATGAACATTCTTAAATTATTTATTTGTGAGTTGAACTGAGTACATTGTACGTATATTTTTATATTACAAAAATGCCTTTCTGCAAAACGGCTAAAAATCTAATAAAAGTACACCATTTTTGATTTCAGTTCAGTTTTGGCTTTCTTCTACCAAGTGTTGGAGGGTGGGTTGATGAGGTGTAACTTTAAAAATATATCAAGTACTTAGCATTAAGAATGTCTCGTTTTAATATCACAACTCTGAGATGAACCTTAATTCCAAGATAAATTTCAAATATATGTGGATATTTAGGACCCATCCCCTTGAAATTAAGAACTTCAGCAAGATCGACCCGGACACCCCGGCCAAAACTGTTTTTCATCAGCGGAGCATAAACTTCCGGAAAGTCTGCCTTGAACTCTCCTCGTGGGGTGGTGTAACCTTCGCAGCTGCTTAGGCCCGAGAAAACCACGCGACGACTCTACTGTCCACGTCGCTCCTTGTTGCTCTCGGCCACAAAACGTACCGCAGTACCATCTTCGCAACAACAACAGTCTCCACGTGCACCGGCGGTCCGAACAAGAAGCTCTATAGTCATCATGTATATCAACTTGAATGGCCTCAAAGGCAAAATCCCAGAGGTGACCATTTTCATGACATCAAAATCGCTGACGTTCAACAAACAAGGTTCGGAGTAGCACAATCTTTCGCACCAGAGACGGATATAACTTAACCGCAAGGACCGCCTTCGTGGCGAAGGAGGAGGTATCACTTTTATCATCTATCTTACAGTTCAATATAGAAGCGTCACTCCTGAAATTGTTGACAACGGCTATAGCCTCGGGAACAACCAGCGGATGTAGCGTTGTCAGAGCAAATTGATGACTCCTCCTTCTAATGCATGAACGACGATGTCCCAACGAGACTCACAGACGTACGAATCCGACTTAACCAATCCCGACTATCCCTGCATCATGAATCTAAAAGCTGAGATAAAGCGCCTCGTCAACAACCATAAGCAGAATAAATGGTTGGAGGACCTGAAATTCTGCAACCTTCAAGGGGCTTCAGTGAGCTGTGGACAACGGTGAAGTTCCACTCGAGCCCGTCGAAGTACGATGATCATGCGGTCATCATATTCAGCTAAGAAATACACACCGATTTCAGGAATCGCGCTCGAGAATTTTGTCGACTATTTATTGCGCACCCTCTGTGGGGTAAACTCTATGCAGCGTACACACAACATCGCGGAGATCTGGGAAAACGCGATCTCCCTGAAAAAGTCTGGGAATAGTTGAATCCTAATAAAACCCTCGAGGCACTACTCCCGCAAATTACTCAACCCCTGCACCTTGCTTCACACCAGTACGGATTCAGGAAGCTGAATAACACCACTTCAGCGCTTAACACAATGGTTTGAACCAAAAGCGCCCCTGAACCTGAAGTGGCACTTGACACGGTTAATTATGCAATGCTTATTGAAGATATTTTCTCGTCTTCTGCAACAAACAAAACATCTTGACCGCGTAGGATTAAACAAGGTGTACCGCAAGGCGAAGTACTATCACCAGTTCTGTTTAATCTGTACCTGAAGAAACTTACCCACCGCCTCATGGAGGCCCCGTTGTCCCATACGCTGATGACAGCGCCGTTATGCCAACGGACGACACCATGTGCACATTGCTCAATCGCTACCCCGAGGACCTGTCCAGAAATTTCACAGCGTGCAGTCTAAAAATCTCAACTGCTTAGTCTAGACCTACATTTTTCACCACCCGTACAAACAAATTAAATGTGCTCTTTGAGGGAGTCAAGATCCCGACATTCAATCACTCAAAAATATTTGGCGTTACATTCGACAGCCTCCTGTCCTTCTCGGCCCTAACCACCACGGTTTTTGAAAAAGGTACAGGACAGAAACAAGTTCCTTAAGTCGCCCACCGGCAGAAATTGATGAAGAGATAAAGAAACTCTGCCCGCAACATATAAACCAATTGGCTAACTACACCGCCCCGGCTTGGACAGTCGGCATAAGTGACACGCAGTGGAAAAACCAGACGTTCCAAAGCACCTTTCTTCGAATCCCTACAGAGTGTCTCCTTATATCTCTTGACCTACATGACGAGGCAGCAATGGTCCGGGTAAAGGAACGCTGCTGTCATAACAGTTCTTGGTAGGTTGTCACAGAACAACTCACCCTAACTATAGTTTGACACTGAGAACTGTGCCGCCCCGGCACGTAAGGAGGCACCTCAATCAGATATCTATGTAGAAGCAGACATCCNTCTAATGCATGAACGACGATGTCCCAACGAGACTCACAGACGTACGAATCTGACCCAACCAATCCCGACTATCCCTGCATCATGAATCTAAAAACTGAGCTAAAGCGCCTCGTCAGCAACCATAAACCAACCAGAATAAATGGTTGGAGGACCTCAAATCCTGCAATCTTCAAGGGGCTTCAGTGAGCTGTGGACAACGGTGAAGTGCCACTCGAGCCCGTCGAAGTACGATGATCATGCGGTCATCATATTCAGCTAAGAAATACACACCGATTTCAGGAATTGCGCTCGAGAATTCTGTCGACTATTTATTGCGCACCCCCTGTGGGGTAAACTCTATGCAGCGTACACACAACATCGCGGAGATGTGGGAAAACGCGATCTCCCTGAAAAAGTCTGGGAATAGTTGAATCCTAATAAAACCCTCGATGCACTACCCCCGAAAATTACTCAAGCCCTGCACCTTGCTTCACACCAGTACGGATTCAGGAAGCTGAATAACACCACTTCTGCACTTAACACAATAGTTTGAACCAAAAGCGCCCCTGAGCCTGAAGTGGCACTTGACCTGTCAAAGGCTTTTGACACGGTTAATTACGCAATGCTTATTGAAGATATTTTCTCGTCTTCTCTCCCTCCACACACCAAAAGTTGGATCGTCAGTTGCTTCTGCAACAAACAAAACATCTTGGCCGCGTAGGATTAAACAAGGTGTACCGCAAGGCGAAGTACTATCACCAGTTCTGTTTAATCTGTACCTGACGAAACTCACCCACCGCCTCAGGGAGGCCCCGTTGTCCCATACGCTGATGGCGGCGCCGTTATGCCAATGGACGACAGCATGTGCACATTGCTCAATCGCAACCCCGAGGACCTGTCCAGAAATTTCACAGCACGCAGTCTTCGAATCTTAACTGCTTAGTCCAGACCTACATTTTTCACCACCCGTACAAAAGAATTAAATGTGCTCTTTGAGGGAGTCAAGATCCAGACATTCAATCACTCAAAGATATTTGGCGTTACATTCGACAGCCTCCTGTCCTTCTCGGCCCTAACCACCACGGTTTTCTAAAAGGTACAAGGCAGAAACAAGTTCCTTAAGTCGCCCACCAGCAGCAATTGATGAAGAGATAAAGAAACTCTGCCCGCAACATATAAACCAATTGGCCGGTCCGTTGCTAATTATACCGCCCCTGCATGGACAGTCGGCACAAGTGATACGCAGTGGAAAACCTAGACGTTCTAAAACACCTTTCTCAGAATCCCGACAGAGTGTCTCCTTATATCTCTTGACCTGCATGACGCAGCAGCAATGGTCCGGGTAAAGGAACGCTGCTGTCAAAACAGTTCTTGGTAGGTTGTCACAGAACAACTCACCCTAACTATAGTTTGACACAGAGAACTGTACCGCCACGGCACGTAAGGAGACATGTCAATCAGCTATGTAGTAGCAGACATCGACCAACAACTTCGAACACCGGTGAGCCATGCCTGGAAAGCATCAACGACCTTCATACGGCAGAAGTTATCACCGCAACCCGAGGACGAGGAGAAAAATAAAGCCATCGGTGGCCGGCCGCTACCTAGCGATATGAGCAAATTTCAACTTCCGAGCGAGACTAGAAACACACTGGCGAAATTGAGATCTGGCTGGTGCAGCCTGCCTAAGATCGTACAGAGCCACATTAGATCTAAAAATCGCAGACACCTGCCCAGCATGCGGAAACCCCACATACCACACATATCTGACACAATGCGGATAATCTGGAGATAAGCAAGCAAATCACATGAAAACAAGTAAGAAAGTCTAAGTTCGGGCGAAGCCGAACATTAAATACCCGGCGCAAGTATTAAATATATGTTTTTTCACTTTTCCGAAACCTTCCGCTAGATGGTAAGCCGGGGTGTATCAATTTTGAGTATATTAGCGTCCTTCAATTCCGAAATATTGAAGTTTCAAGCATTTCTGAAATTTACCGTTATATGAGAAGCGCCCGTTATTTTAGTCCGATTTCAATAATTTTCAACGTTTTGCTTTTATGTGACAAGCACAATAACCACACGGAGTTTGGTACAAATTGGTAGAACGGTTACCGATA